ATATATATAAAGGCATTTTAAATGCTTTCCACACACTTGCAACATTCTAAACAATGTTTCTAAACTAAACGCTCTAAAAGAGCACAGCATGTCAAGATTTCAGCTCTCTTCCACCTGCCAGCGCTCTCGGCCACGCCCATTTCTCAGCTGCACTTTCAAAAGTTCAGGTGGGTGGCAGATGGTGACATTCACTCTGAGAGTCCATGACTGTCCAACACAGGGAAAGAGGAGTGGGGGAAACATTGGTTCTGCAGCTGGCATGGAGGCCTGGAGGGCTACAGCTGTTGTGGGACACCCTGCAGGCTCTGAGAATTCATTCATTCAACCTTTATTTATACAGGTTAGTCTCATTGAGTCACAGGGACTCATTTTCAAGAGAGACTTGTTTTAAACAAACAACCGATAAGGTGCAGACAACAATAAATAATGAACAACAATAAAATGCTAATAAAATATTACAAAAAATAGTAACAGTAAAATCAAGGTGCCTTATAAAACAAGGTAAAATACTAAAAACAAAAACTTATTTGCTTTGATTTTTCTAATGACCTTATCAATTGTTTAAAATCCCTTAAAGAGATCATAGACAACTTCAGATCTCCCCTCAGGAAGGAGGTTGAGGAGCATTAAGTGTAGAACCACTAGACTGAGGAACAGCTTCTACCCTGAGACTGTTAGACTCATGAATCTCTAATCAAGATAATCACTGTGAAAACAATCACTAATGCCACTTGATTGTGATATGTGCTGCTGACTATCCATGCTGCTGATCTTATGCTGCTGATTTATTTTGTGCTGCTGTGTTCATTCGTCCTCATCTCCTCACACAGACTCGTGTCCGTGCTGCTGCTGTTCGGCGTATTGTTTTTGTACTATTAGTGCTTAGTGTATTCTTAGTTTAGTGTATTCTTAGTTCATATCTTGGATCTTATCACTGTTTTTCTTTACAATTCATACTTTTGTTGGATGTAACTGGAACCCTGTGTACACAATTTTGTTCCACCACATGTACCACATATGATGTGAACGACAATAAAGAAACCTTAATCTTGTTGCAAGGTGTCCCAGGTTACAGGAGCAGAGTAAGAAAAGGCCTTTTTACCAAGTAACTGGTACAGAGTAACATCACTGACACAGAACCGATAACAAAGACGACAGCAAATTGTTGATTCGCTTTCAGCTGCAAATGATAATTATAAGCAGCTTCATAATGAGGAACTGTGTGAGAAATATGTTTCCTCAGAAATGTAATATCTGTGTATGACACATTATGCCACTGGGTGGCATATTTCATCCAATCTGACCCACTGCAGCCCATAGATTTACTGCCACCAAATGCAACATGGCGATAATGTTTTCACCTTTGTACGTGCATGTGTGCACTTTATTTGTCTGTACTGTGAGCAAGTTACAGCTAACTGACAATAGCCAATACAAAATGTCCCTAACTTTGTCAGTTTAACAGCTATTGAGCTAAGATTTTAAGTATTAGTAGTTTAGAGTCATCCCTTTGATGATCTTTGAGCATTAACAGGCTTATAGGTCATTTACAAAGCTTGACCCAAAGGTTTGCAACCTCGTGGACAGCTTGTCTTTGGACCAGTGCAGCCGGTGCACTACCTTGAATTGAATTACAGCAAGTCTCAGACAAATTGAAGAGGAGTAAATGTTCTTAATGATCCTTCTCCAGACTGAGTCTATGGGTTCCTCCTAGTCTGCTTCCTATTTTAGTTTAAGTGAGTCCAAGCTGGACTCATGGTATGAGCTGAGCAGTGTACATGTATATTTTGCTGAGGGCCCCCTAGTATCAGACCTGCATTCCAAAATCTTAACCACAAAATGTTTGGAGGGGTACAAAAGAAAGCAGTCAGAGTTAGACTCACAAAATGTCTCAGCTGTAAATATCAAAAAAGTGTGACTTGTGAATATTAAACTTCTGTACCAGTTATTCAAAAGAGACAACTCTACCATCAGCGTAGAGATCACACAGTGAATGTACTCCCCTCAAGACACAGGTGTCAAAAGCTGTATCAGCTAGTGAGGGAGTGAACATGTGATTATTTGACACAGGTGCCAGACACAGGAACTCTGTAGAGTTAAATATCTCCTGAACTGGTTCCACATCTCAACTGCCCAGATCACAACTGGGTTAGAGGTATAAGTTGATACTGATTGTTTAAACTTTAAAGGGCAGCCAAGAGCAGAGGAATGCAGAGGGAGAACTGGATTTCATTGAGGCCCCTTCCAAGGCCACCCAGCTAGAAGAGGGGTGTCCTTACCCAACCCAGATAGAAGCGCTCTGATATTAGCTGCCCAATAATAGTGCATGAAGTTAGGAAGTGACATGCCTCAAGTCTGGGGGGCAGATGTAAGACCCTCCTGGAAATCCATGGGTGCTTTTTGTTCAAAATAAATGCTGATATCTGGCTGTTCAGATTGGTTAAAAAGGATTTAGTGTGAAAGATTGGCAGATTCTGAAACAAGTATAGGAAATTAGGTAGGATGCTCATTTTTACATAGTTTATTCTGCCCCCTAGAGTATGAGACAGGGATTGTCATTTAACAATATCCAGTTTAAAGTTCGCCATGAGAGGTTCAAACTGTACTTTTATCACTAAATATGTCTGCACCATATCACTTCATGTAGTAACAAAACAGACTGCCCTGAAAAACCCACAGAACAAGTTGTCTTCATCAACCTGACTACCAGTGACGCAGTGACACGTTTATTTTCTAAACATAACGTCCCAGTGGCTTTTAAACCCCAAAATACATTACGGCAAAGACTGGTTCATCCCAAAGATCCAGTCCCCCGGAACAAACAGAGTAATGTTGTGTATGTTGTTCAGTGTCAGGAGGGTGATCAGTCTTACATCGGGGAAACTAAACAGCCACTGGCCAAAAGGATGGCCCAGCACAGAAGATCAACATCATCAGGCCAGGACTCTGAGGTCTACACTCATCTCCAGGCCAGCGGTCACTCTTTCAGGGATGAAGATGTTCACATCCTGGACGGAGAGGAATAATCATAGACATAAATACGTAGACGCCCCGTTGACTGGGTCGGCCCGCTGATGTGACGTAACTGTCTGTCCGCCATATTGGAGGAGGCTAAGCTGCGCTGTGAACTAATACAAATAAGATTTTAAAGCACATTTTAACAGTGAATTTTACGTTAATGCCCCAGTTTATTTAATTCACACGCACACACACACGCACACACACACACACACACACACACACTAAAGTTAATGGGAAACAGGTACCAAAAACAATGTGTTAAAGCTTCTTAGTTTAGTACAATAACTTTACTGATCCCACACATCAGTAATTCATGTTTCATCAGCTGTAAAGTTGTGCATAAAACAGTGTATGTTACACTTTAATAATATATGAATAACAATAAAAGAGGATTAACCCCCCCCCCCCCCCCCCCCCCCCCCCCCCCTCCACACACAAGAAAGAAACATATCTTATTTTCATTTATTTGTTGGCCAATTGGAGGCAACAAAAATCATTTTAAACACCACACATACACACAGGTTATGTACACTATATACATTTTCTGTTTAAGTAAGAGCACTAAAATCCTTTAAAATGAATGGTTTTGCACACTTGTTTCCTATTGTTGGTTTTGCACACTTGTTTCCTATTGTTGGTTTTGCACACTTGTTTCCTATTGTTGGTTTTGCACACTTGTTTCCTATTGTTG